GGAAATATGATTTGGCGTCTGTAGTCGCGATTGGCAAACTATCCTTTTGGTGGGCTCTTTAAAAACTAACCTTCTTTGGATGGGGAATGCACATATAGGTGTCAATCGGGCGGGTTTGGGTCGGATTCAGTTGGGTCGTGGGTTAATCGGGTTGCGGGTCAAACGGGTTGCTGTTCAAGCGGGTTCGGGTTGATCGAGTTGCGGATCAGTCGGGTTACGGGTTGATCGGGTTGCGGATCAATCGGGTTCGGGTTGATCGGATTGCGGGTTACAACAGGTCGGGTTGCGGGTTGTTCGGTCCACACCATCGAGTTTTTTTTTATAACTAGTTATTACACTAATTTAAAACAAACTCACCGACCATCATATTGCAATGAATAAAACATGAATGTACATTATTAAACAAATGAATGACTAGATTTTGCTTGAATATATCATAAACAAGTTTGATGTTGCTAGTTGTTGGTATCTTGTAGAGGATTCATTAAGGTTACAGAACCAACATAAAATAAATAGTTGAACAACAAGAAATTAAAAAGCTGACAACTTGTTTGATCATAAACCTATGAAACCATCTCTTGAGTCTTGATAGTTGAGAGTTGAGACCATTGCATAATATTTAAGCAAATATAATGAAGGAATACAATAAAGTACATAAGGCTCCATTAATCTTGAAGATTTCCCTTAGTGCACATCTTAAGATGTCTCCACAGTGAAACTGTCCCATTCTTATTAGGATCGCATCAAATAACCTTCATGCAATGGTTGCATTGAAGCTTGACCTCCTCCTCTGATTCAACTTGAGTGAAATTCTCCCAAATTTTGCTTCTTCTAGCCTTGGCGTCCATTGCTTCTAAAAAAAGCAACGAAAAGAAAAGAATTACATAATCAATCAAGCAAGAAGCAACAAACAAGATAAAATGACTGTTGAAGTTTCATCTAAGGAATTGACTCATTTTTGGGACTAATCCTACAAAGTTTCATCCAAGAAGCAACAAACACGATAACATATTGAAACTACAAAAATTGTTTCGTACTAGTGCTTAGCAGAGTTACATCCAAGAATGCTAGTGCTTAGCAGATGCAACAGCTTTTGCCATTGCATTTAACAAAACCAGAGCAGCCAACCCCCTACAGATAAGGTTATAACATTGGCGTTTAGCAAATAAAAACCCTCACAGACCTGAGATATTATCTATTTATACATGTGATGAAGCGCCTAGACGTTCAGAGCAAAATCGAACCCTCTCCAAACTTGCTACTACCCTTCCATTGATGGATAGGATCAGTTTGTGAGAAATGTTTAGTTTAGGGTATCCTTTGTAATTCACTTATGAAAATTATGAATGAAAAAATAAAAAAAAAATATAAAACACTTAACCCAAAATTCCCCTCACCAAACGTTAAAAGGAAATTCCATAAACAAAAAACTTAAAAAGGAAGATATATATAAGTTTTATTTTCCAAACAGCTCTTGCTATCTCTCCTTCCTCATCTTTCCTTCTCAATCACTTCCTTGTTCTTCCTCAGCTGAATTCTTCTTCTGCAACTCATTCTCTTCTCCCTTCAATTCTCTATCTTTCTCCTCCAAATCCATTCTTTTCTTCCATACCCTCGTCGGAATAGATCCTCCCCCACATCGATCGTCACAACGACTCCCTTAGCAATCCTCAATTTTGAATTCAACGATGATGGAGATCTGGGTTTCATTCTCCACAGCTCTCACATGCATCTTCTTAACGAAGACTTGCTGGGTTTCTGATTCTCTTGGAGACTTTCTTGCGACGAATTGATGCCTTGCATGAACCCTAGAATTTGGCGAAACAGGGGGAGCTCAAAATTGATGGTGCTAAAGATAGACTCGGCCACCGAACTGTCCGTCGCCGTCTTCCTTGTGGAAGCTGTCGTCTCTGTCCTCCTCGGTGATGTTCTGGGTCGAACGGCGATGAGCCGATGACGAATGGTGCTTGGTTTTGGGTCGAATGACGATGACAGCCTCAAACGGCGGGACAGATCGATAGATACTGCAAACGGCGAGGGAAGCCTGAAGCCGGCGGCTGACGAGGGAAGCTGGGATTGGACTTGGCTTCAAGGGTTTGGCTTTTGCTCACGGGGCGGATTCGAGCGCGTGGTGAGAATTGAAAGGTGATCAGAGGTGGCAATTAGGATCCAAATCCAATCCATCCACCAAATTATCCACCTAATCCAATCCATTTAAATCCAATCCATTTGATCCAAATCCAATTGAATTGGTGGATTCATGGATATGACAAATTACGATTTGATACCTATGTTTTTTATATTTTACATTTTGGTACCTAAAATTTATATTTTTATACGAAAAATAACATTGGAAAATTACATTTTGGTACCTAAAAATTTTTATCATGACATTTTAGTACCTATAACTTTTCAAAAATTATATTTTGGTCCAAGCCTTGGATGTCATTTGAATTCATGGATCAATTCACCAATCCATTTGATCCTTGCTCCACCAATCCAATCCACAAATTCACGAATCCGATCCAATTGCCACCTCTAAAGGTGACCAACGAAAGGTTTGAGGGCTGTGGTGAGAACCTGAAGATGGAGAACAATAAATTGAGAGGGGACTTTGGGTTCACACAGGCGTAGCTATTGTTTTTTGGGAGAAGATGAACGGACACGGCTACAGGAGAGAAAGAGATAAGGGTTTTTAATGGGTAAAGAGATAAGGGTTAAGCCGTTAAGGTAGTGCACGATATCTCCCTTCCTTAACTAACATCAATTGATTAAAAAATTAAAAAAAAAATTTAATATATTTGGTTACAGAAAAGGAGGGAGGGAGGGAATTTTGGCCAAATTTTGGGGGGTTCAAATTCAAACGTTTCTTTCGCGGGTTTGGGGAGGGAACTTTGGACCAAATTTTGGGGTTAAAAAATGATTGTTCCCTCAAATTTTTTGGTGAACGACATCTTATTCTTCTTTTCATTGATATTTATTATTATAGATAATAAATTTATACCGATTAATTTGTTGTTCGATACATTGACCGGAATGTTATTTGAATATAATATATTTACGATGTACATTAACAAGTTTTCAAAATATTTTAAAGGCTTATTTTTACCCAATAGCTAAGTTAATTGTTAAAATCAAATTAAATAATAAAATATAAAACCAAAAATACCTATCATAAAGCATAACGATGAAGAACCCTAAACAATAAATCCCAACCCTATAACACCATCTTAATTCTTAACTCTAAAACCTAAAACTAACCTTATACCCTATACACTAACCATGTCCACAACATCAAGTCATTAACCCTAAAACTAACTTCAACCATTAACAACAACCCAAACACTGAACTCTAAACCATGACCCTATACCCTATACCCTAAACCATGAACTATAGTTATATGTTATGAATTTGTTGGTATACCCTATAATGTATGTTATGTGAAGAGTGTGAGTTAAGTCAATTTTATATTCGGCTATTGGGAAGAACATACGTCATAATCCTCCTAACTCTTAACCACGACCGTATACCCTATACACTAACCTTAAACCATTAACTATAGTTATATGTTATAAAATTGTTGGTATAAACTATAACGGTATGTTATGTAAAGAATGTAAGTTAAGTCAATTTTGTATTTGGTTATTGGGAAGAACATACGTCTTAATCCTCTTAACTCTAAACCAACCACGACCATATACCCTATACACTAACCTTAAAACCTGAACTCTAGTTACATGTCATGAAATTGGTGGTAGAACGTAGGTTATGTGAAGAATGTAGATTATGTTCTAATCCTAATATTCCTAACCCGAAATCATTTTTAAATTTTGATTAAAGCATCTCAATGATTTATTATTTATAAATACATCTTGTAATTTGTAAGTGGTAACCAAGTTTAATTTAAGTGAATTTATGTTTTGTTGTTGAGAAAATATATTTTAAGGATGGTCTTCTAATGGACCGTTTGGTACCATATGAATCGAGAATTCAATTCATTTTAAAATGAATTACTTTGTAGAATTCATTGTGAAATGAATTCTTGTGTTTGATATGTCTATTATATGTATGTGTGTTATCTATATATATTATTTATAGTACACATCAACCAAATATTGATAAGTGATAACCCTCCTAGGATTTCTACTTCTCTACAGTGACAAACAAAGTGACAAACAATGAGACTATTATGTGATTCAATTTAATGGCAATTGTCAACATAAAGTAAACCTTTCTTCTTGGTTTGAAAGATGAAAAAATAATATGGCAAAGTCACGTAAACTTTATATATATATATATATATATATGGGTCACACTCGTATGGTCCAGACGCATAGCATGCTCCAGATCTTTGCACCGTTGATTTAATCTGATGGCCTGTATTAAATATAATAAATTTATTTATAATTTACAAATTAAAATTGTTTAGTTGATTCTTTTACATTTTCATACGTTTACTTTAATCCCCCAACAAATTATTTCATTTATTTTCATGGTACAATACCTAATTTCTTTTAATCATAAGTTACACATCCAAAACATTTCAATCAAAAACAAAAACCATCCCAAAACTTTACATCGTCACTTCAACATCTATAACAGGCTCAAATAAGAAAATTAAAACATCTCTAACATTTCAACATGAACTTCCCCACCCATACACCCATCGTCGAACCCTCTCCTCTCATGTTCACCATCGTCGAACCCGCCGTCTACCCCCGTCCCGGTCACCCCTTCCACGCTGATGCTGATTACGTCGTCTACCCCTTATCTGCACACCTCCGTCCTCCCGCTCGCCGCCATCATCTTCCGGCGATTTGACGCCGAACTCTTCCTCTCCTCCCTCCAATTCGTCGACATCGACCGAAACGGTAGTCGGGATTGCAATTGGAGGTGTATTTGGTGACAATGGAGTCGGTTGCTACGCTCCTCCGCCGCCGCCACCTTCCTGGGGTTCGACGCAAAACTCTTCCTCTCCTCCCTCCAACTCGTCGATATCGACCGGAACAGTGGTCGGGATTGCAATCGGAGGTGTATTTGGCGACAATGGAGTCGATTGCTAAGCTCCGCCGCCGCCGCCTGCCCCGAAAGGTTTGATTTTTCCCAATCTTTTCCCTCTCTCTTTTGAATCCCAGAAGAAATTTCTCGTATCTAATTGTGGAAGTTGTGACTCTTACTCTCCTCCCTCCAACTCGTCGATATCGACCGGAACAGTGGTCGGGATTGCAATCGGAGGTGTGTTTGGCGACAATGGAGTCGATTGCTAAGCTCCCCCGCCGCCCCCTGCCCCGAAAGGTTTGATTTTTCCCAATCTTTTCCCTCTCTCTTTTGAATCTCAGAAGAAATTTCTCGTATCTAGTTGTGGAAGTTGTGGGATGGTTTGAAGAGAGGTGCTGATGTGGTTCATGATGGGGTAGTAGAAAGAGGGCTTCAGGTTGTTCGATATGTTGGTGCTAAGTCTTCTGTTATTGTTACCATTTGCCTGACATTGTATTTACATGTTGTGGGCGGCGCCAGGGTGATGTTGCCTGCTTGAAAAAGTTGTGATTGGGAACTCATCTATTGATATGAAACCACGTTATTGCTAATGAAGATAAAACCAAGTAGCATTTGTATGTACCTCTCTCTCTCTTTATCTCTTTCTCTCTTTCTCTCTTTCTCTCGTCTACATTCCTTGATTGTTAGTACATGATCCAAGCTCAGGGTTTCATTTCTATGCCATTTCATTTTTATGGTTTCGAACATGTGAATGCTGCATTCCCCGTTTCTTCATCTAGACGACTGGTGTGGCATGTAGGATTGTGTATCATACCGCAGTTTGTGGAGATTGCTTTGCTTGGATCAGAATAGAAAGATCAGGATGACACAGATGCCGTTAGCTAGCTAGCTAGCTACGAGCTAGTTTGTTAGGAGACTAGGCGTGCAGTTGTAAAATTGATGGAAGCCACACAAAGTTAGCAGAGGATTTGTGTAAGAAGAATTTTTGAAGCTTTCTCCCTCAAGTCTGTGGGAATTCATCATTAGCAGAGGCACTTTTGTTGCAAACCTCGAGCTAATCATGAACATCCATGTCTTGCCATGTGCTAATTGAAAATACTTTCTCCTCTTATTGTTAACTATATAACTTGGGTGCAATCAATCATGCTCTTCCTTTTGCTTGAAAGGGGAGAAAGAAAGAAAGAAAAGCACAGATAATTGGGACATCGGGGCTGGCTAGGGGAAGGGGAGGTGGGAGGTGGGGTGTAATCAAGATGGGCCTGGAGGGTTCTTCTGGTCAAGCACTCTTCACCTTCTTCTCCAACGCCCTCTTCACATCTCTCTCCCAAGCTCTCGTCACCATCTCCCTGCAGTCAGAATCGAATTAATACAGAGCCATAGCAGAAGATATTTCTGTTAGCAAGGTACCAACCAGAGTGGTGGGGTGGAGATCAGCGCCATGAGCTAGCATAAAGGTCAGAAGAAGTGCGATGATGATGATGCTGATAAGGTAATTGGTGCGTATAAGGTAACTGGTGCATGGTTGCAAAATAAAAGGAAAGATCATTTAATTAGTAAGCCTGTTTAGTTAGAGAAAGAGGAAGTTCCTTTATTTGGATGAATACCCCATTATTTTGCCTTCTTTATAAGTGTTTTTGCCTTCTTCTTTTTTCTGCGATATTCTCAACCTTGCTTTCCAGCTGTGTTAGGCGACTAAGGTTCCCTCTGCTGTTGTTAGATAGTTATCATCCAATTTCTCAATTTTTTTTATGTTTCGGCTTTGTGTGGTTAGATTAGCTGCTGGCTTTTACACAAACCTATATAAAATTCTGTTTTGCAGTTTTTCCACCGTGTTCTCCTCTTAGTGAAAGTTCTACCGAACCATGGATCCAAAAATTGGGTAATGGCCATTGCTATTTTACCTCCTTCACGATTCTCTTCTGCTCCTGTTGTGTTAGTTCTAATCCATCGTTGCCCAGATTTATTTGTGTTTATTATTGCTGATAATTGTTTGTATGACAATTGAAATTAGGGACAAGAGGCTGGCTAAAGGTATAGATGCTGAAAGTAGAGCAAAAATGACGAAATATTCTTCACAACGCAAGGTTTGAGAAGTTGAAGAGTTTATTTTTTTTTTTTCTTCCTTTATGTTCTACACACCTTTAATCATACTGTTTTCTGCTTTTTTTCACATGGTTTGGTTGTTTCTGGTTGCGTAGTTGTCGCTCACTATTAGTATTGTCGGTTTGTTTGTTCATTGTTTTGTCATCTAGTTTTTCTGGTTTTTATGTTCATGGTTTGATTGCTTTTGGCTTATCATCGTTTGTTTTTGTTTTTGTTTTTTGTTCATTGCTTTGTCATCTAGTTTGGTGGGTCATTGTCTTGTTTTCTTAGGTTGTCGCTCATTAGCTTTCTTGCTAATCTTCTAATTTTGTTTAGGTTTCGTTCAAATACAATTATCCTTGATTTGTATATCTCTTTTATCCTGTAATGATAATACAGTGGTAGTGACCCACATTAAAAATTACTAATTAGACTTTATACCAAGTTTTCTTTATTATCCTTTGCTAAAAATTGACAAAGAGGAGGCTTGAGTTCAGAGACGTCAATGCGACACCAATTTCTGAAGTCATTATCATTGATGATGACGAGCCTGATGTGACAACCATATCTGAGGTAGTCGTGGTACTGTTACATAAATGCTTAGTATTAGGCAGCATATCAGATTTTATAGTATTTGACTTTTTGTGTCAGGTTGTAATGAAGTTTCCTATCACCAGTAACATGCATTTGACTTCAGAAGAGGTTGGACTGGCCTATTACATGTTCGTGGAAGATCTTGCTCCCGAAAAGATACTAGTAAAAAATGGTTCCCAGTCCTGTACTCGTAGCTCACTGTTGAGCTTGCTGCCTAACGAGTACCTAGAAGATGAGGTACATTCTATCTTTAACTTTTTGTATATGTTTTAAATATCCATTAAAATAATTATGTTGTCTGTTTTTTAAGGTAATTTCAATGTATGCATGGTATCTCAACCTCTCTGTCATGTATGATAAGCAACGTAGAATTGAAAGCAAATCGTGCTTTCTCCCTACTGATATACAGGTAATCAAATATGGATCACTAGTAATAATTTTTTAGATTTGTCCTTTATACATAATGATTTTCACTTATTAAATTCCAAATTTGAACTTGTAGGCAGGATTAGAGAAGTATGTCTATACTGCTGACAGTGTATTCAATGATTATCGATTTAGCTCCTTGGGTGTGGTTGATTCCTTCATTGCTTGGCAGTCCTCCACCGTATGATGGGTGCTTTCGCACCATTGGCAGAGCATCGCCTGCTGCTGTCCGGTCCCTGGAATCATCCCGGAACGATCGATAGCTGAGACCAGCTTCGATACTACCTGCACCAAATCAGATGACTGGGTGCCCACAGCATGTACACCTCGGCTGGGTGCTCTCCTCGACCTCCTGGCAGTGCCCCAATCATAACCATTCTCCGCCATCTCTTCAAAGAGTTGATTCAGCTGTGGCGGGGTTTTGGTCAGCATGTTCCCGCCACAAACCGAATCGATCAGCTGCTTGTCCTCCGGGAAGAGGGCGTGATAGAAGGTGCCCACCTTGAACGCATCGTTGAAACCATGGTTGGGACACCTGAGAAAGAGGCTGGTGTACCTCTCCCAAGCATCCCTAATGGTCTCATCCTCATCCTGAGAAAAATGTGTAATCTGCTTCTGGAGATCAGCTGTCTTGGATGGAGGATGGTATCGGGTGAGGAACTTGTCCGCCAGGTTGGCGAACGTGGTGATGGAGCCCGGAGGTCGAGTGTCTAGCCACTCCTTGGCCTGCCCCTCCAGAGTGAATGGGAAGTACCTCAGCTGGATGGCATCTGCTGGTACCCCGTTGATCTTGATCCCATCGATGAGCTCGTGGAATCGCCTGAGATGTGATCGAGGGCACTCTCCCTCCTTACCACGGAACACTACTGAACCGCGCAGCATGGTGATCACGGAGGCGCTCACCTCAAAGTTGTTGGCTGGGACCTGAGGGTGTTGAATGGGTGACCTCATGTCCGCAGCCCTAGCGGTCCAGTAGGATCCCATGGTTTGCTCCTCGGGGATCACAGCACGGTTCTGCGGATCACCCATCTCTCCTTCTTCTTCTTCTCCTAACTGCAGCTGTGTTAGCGCCTCCTCCGCATCCAGTCGCGCCTTTAGAGCCCGCTTGAAGTTCCTGCAAGTTCGTTCAAGCTCCTGGTCCCGACTGGCTACGGGTCATGCACTACCTGCACACAATCAGCAGAAGCAACCCGTGAAGGCACACAGGTGGAAGAGATAAAATGCAGTAAATAAAAGCTAGAGTAACAAATTCTCACGTTTCCCCAATAATCTAGAGGGATCCCCGGCAACGGCGCCAAAAACTTGACACGCAAAAACACAACACCTAACAATGGCCAAGTGTAACCAATGAAAGGGACTGCAGTAACAGGCAAGTTTAATTATCAACCCAGGGTCTAGATCTACTGCTTACTCCGTGATTCTCTATTATCTAGCAAACTAGTTCGAATGATTGTTGTGAAAAGTAAAAGCAACAAGAAAGCAGTAAATTGTTCGGTTTTCTAAGGCAGGCAAGAGTCACTCGGGATTGAGTCCCCCTAGCCCCTTAGTTAGGTTCAATTGCAATTCCCTGGGTTGATTTACTGTTGATTAGACTGCGGAAGATCCGACAATAGCTTGGAATCTCAGTCTAACTACCCGGAAGACGACTAGTCTTCATCGGGATAGAAAGCTGAGGCTATGAACACAGAACTCCACTACTGGCGTCAAGAACACCAGTACAAAGCAGTAAACTGGCTAACTCTCGTATAGCCACTCTCCTACTATCGAATGAAGAGGCTCTAACAACCTAATCAGATTCTATCTATCTCAGGTTGCAGCAGAAATTGAGAAAAGCTGATCAGACTCAAATCAATTCAATAAACATGCATCATTCGATTAAAATCAAACAGTAATATCATCCCAAGTCATTACAATCAAATCCCTAACACAAGGAACTAGGGTTCTTCATACCCAAGTGAGAGAAGGGTTCTACTCCATAGAGAGAGAAGAGAAAACAAGAATCGGATTAGTCATACTCATAAAGATGAGGATAATCTGCTCCAGGACGATGATTTTCACTCCTATGACGATCTCCAGGCTCGATTCGATGAAATCCAGCTCTAGGACAGCTTCTAGGGTGTGTTCTTCGCACTTTCTCTCTCTAGGGCTCTGTTTTTGCTCTCAAAACACGATTTCTCCCACTTCTGGCTCGGATTAGGCTTTAAAACCGGTTTCCCCGAGTTGCACGGCCAGGTGCACGGCCGTGCACAACACCATTCTGGCCGTGCACCCTGAAACGCGCCGTATCAATAAGTCTGCCTTCGTCCATCTTGCACGGCCAGGTGCACGGCCGTGCAATCTTCAGGGTCTGGCCGTGCATGGCATCGGCATGAGGTGCACGGCCAACTTGCAACCGTGCACGGCCGTGCAGCATCCCTGGTCTGCCCGTGCACTCCCCAAACAGCTCGCCATTCGTCCGTTCTTCGTCCAATCGACCCCAGACTCGCTCCTAAGCCTTCATTC